AGGGGATTATGTTGGAGATCCATTTTTAATCTCTTCTTCTTTTTTTATCTATGTTCTTTGAATAAAAAACAAAGGTGAAGTAGCCAAGAGAAAGGAGAAGAAGAGATGGTTAATGCTTGCATAGAGATACACATTCCTCTTTCTCCTTCTAGTCAATGCTTACATGACAAAGACACAAGTTACATGCTTTACACACACACACACACACACACACACACACACACAATATATGTTATATATATAATATCTATGTGTGAGAGAAGACTCAAAGAAGTAGCCAAGATGGAGGAGAGAGAGAATATGGGGAGAGAGAATGCAAAAAAGTTGAGAAGTTTAGGCTATTTGGCATTTGTGTCTGTGTGATTCTTCTTTTCAATATGGATGATTTATCTCCCAACTTTGTGTTCTAGGTTATCAACATTTACTGCCACAAGTCTGAGAAGCTCCTCTAAAACCTCATATCATTGTTGTATGTATGGATATACACTTCCATATCAATCACCTTAATCTTCTCATGTATTATGCATATCTTTATGTGTGTGTATGTGTTTATATATGTGTGCGTGTTTTTACAATAGAATGGATAGGGCGTTGTCAAACTAAAAGGACATGGGAATCTATGTGAACCAATTGGTGGAAAGCAACTTGAGTATTGGAGCCAATGGAGTTCAAAATGTCTACGAATGGGGGGGTGAGAGAAGTGAGGGGTAAACAAACTATAAAAAATGGCAACTGGTAGGACCCATTAAGTTAAAGGGCACAATGATTCAAATTTTAAAAGTTAAGGGATAAAATTGACCCTAAGTTGAATTTAGGAGAGTTAGTGATCTTTTGCGTAAAGTTAAAGGGGCAAAGCTAACCCTTAACCCTAAAAAATTATTTTTACAATCCAGTCATTATTCAACAAAAGCTAACATGCTTTAAAGGAATAAAGTAATTATATAATTTTATATATGACAGAAGCTTTTAGACGATTCAAAACATAGATTTTTAGTCCATAATCAATTAGACAAGTCCTTAGTGGACACAGCATTCCTAGAGCATTCCCAAAACAATATATATATATATATATATCTAATGGTATAACATGAGGTTTCTAATATAAAAAGAATAACTATTGTTACATCTTTTTTAAGCTAAAACTACACATTCTAAAACATTCCTAACACCACCAACTCAAATAATCTCTACAACAATTAATAATAATAAATATAATATATTAATAAGTCTCAATAATATAATTTACCAATAAATTCAACTCTAACGATTTCTAATGTTTTTAATTTAATCTCTAAGCTATTTCATTCTTTAACTTCAATTTATTTCTATAATGTTTTCCATTTTTTACCCCTATAAATTTAATAAACTTTTTATATCAAATTTCTCCAAAAAGACTCAAAATCTACCTCTAAAGTTTATCCTCCAATTTTCCAATTTCATATATTAAACTCTAATATTTATATATATTCAGCTTATTTATAATAGATTATAGAGAAATTTTCTATCTTATTAGATCATAAATAAATCAATTTTATTTATTGTGAGTCTCTTATAACATTAAAATTGCTCTAGAGTCATCAAAATCAATGATTTGGGCTGAACCAATCCATATAAACTCTTCATCTAACCTCTTTATCTCTTTTAGCAACCCAATAATCAGTTGGAAACATCCAACAAATTTAGACTCTGTCCAGCCCTAAATATCTTTCCCTTATCAGGACCTAAAAACACCGAAGAGAAAAGTAAGAAAGGAAGTTAGATCACTTACTAGCCTAGAATAGATGAACTAAATTTTTAGAATCTAACAGCACCCAAATAAAAGTCTCATACTATCTTGTTCTCTCACACTCAATTTCTCTCTCTCTCTCTCTCTACTCACAATCCTGCCACAGTAAAATACCTCACTTGTTTGCTCTCAAAGCTCGCCATACCAACAAGGGTTAAGGTGCAATTTTACTCTAAAACTATTTTCAAAGGAGCAATGTTGTCCTCAAACTACTCATCATAACGATGTTGTTCTAAACTAATTAAATTGGAGTAATGTTATCCTTGCCGTTTAAACATTCATTACTGTAGCTAGTGAGACTTATTTTTCATGAGTTAAGGTGTAATTTTACCTTTAAAATATTCTTAGAGGAGCAATGCTACCCTCACCATTTAAAAATCATAAAATTAAATAAAAATAAAATTATAAATATAAAATTATAATAATATTAAAAAAATATTAAATGTATCTATAAAATAAATATAAGAAAAAATATAATTTCTTTTGATTTTACAATCTTGTATTTTAATCTTAAAAATTCTAAAAATAATTTTCTTAAATGTTTATTTAATCCCACCCAATTTTATAAATTTTCTCTTTTCCTAAAAATTATATTTTTAATTTCTTTTTTAAGTTAAAAAAATCATTTCTCAACTAAGTATGAAATCTCATCTTACTTTAATGTTATTTAAATGCTAAATAAAAAATTGGGATATTACAGGATATACTTCTTGTATATAAAAAATAAATTAAGATATTACATATAAATAGAAACAAACTTACTTGTAATTTTGAATTCAAATGTGACGTGTTTTCGTCACTTTTCCATGCTCTGAACACCTTCCGATAAGAAACAGCAGAGAAGATGACAAATCCAGAATTCTTTTGGATAACAAGAGCCCATCTCAACCTTTCGAAAATAATCGTGTCCCTATATGTGGACGGAGGGTTTGTTTGTCTCGGGGCGACAGAAAAGGTGAGTTGACAGCACCAACCTAGCCTTGTCATTTTCACTCTTATATAGTAGATTAGTTTTACCCTCATCCCATGTGGTCCCCAGGTGACATGGCCATTAGTTACTGTATGGTTGGTGGATAGGAATATTCTTAAAAAAAAAAAAAAAAAGGGAGAACGGAAAGACCAGTATAAATGAGAATGGAGTAATAACTTTAGAATATTCAACTAAAAAAAGAATAAATGGATATTTAACTCAAAAGGGAATAAATGGTCGAACTGTTCTTAAAGAACAATTGATAGTTTTCCCTGTATCCTGTCTATGGGTAGAATAAATGGTTGTTTTAATGTTAAATGATTCATTTCTCGAAAAATTACTCCAATTCATTGGCTTTCAGCAAGCTAACTTGTTCACCATATATCATATGAAGCAATTATTCAAGTCATTTCAAGATGTTAAGCTTGGCCCAAGGAAAAAAAAAATACATGATGATAAGTGGCAGGCTTACTTGAGTTTGAGGGAATGTGTTATTTTATTTAATGTGATTATTAAATTATGATCAATTTGTAGATTTTAATTAGGTGCAGTTTGATATTCTGTTATGTTAACATATAATTCATGTTATATATAAAGTTTCATGGGCATAATTAAGAATAAAAGAAAACAACAATTAAGTCTCTAAAAAACAAATTTAATGATAGTTGGGTTCCTAATAAAATTTTTTAAAAAGTAAATTATAAATATTGATTTAAATAATTATAAATTTAGGAGTTTTAATTATAAATAAGATCCTATTTGGTTACTAAAAAGAATGAAAATTAAAAAAATTAAAAAATAAAATAAAAATGAACTAAATTGTTATTTTCCTTAATGTTAAGCATGATAAAACTCAATATTATATACTATAAATGGGTGAATTATCATACTTTTTAAAAATCTCATAAATCACTTAACTCTCAATCCCATGAATTAAATTATCATTCTACCTTATGAATATAATTCACCTATCTCTCTATACATTTTAATCATCTTATTTTTATTTTCTTAATTCATTCTATTCTTTTCTTTCTAGAAACTAAACAGGACTTAAGATATTTAAATTTTAAACGAAACTCTCATTATACAATTGAGATTCTTATTTGCAACTATCTAAATCAATAAGTATAATTAAATTATTTTTAAAATTTTTTATCAGAATTCTAATTGTCATTAATTTGTTTTTTAAAGACATTATTATATATCATTGCCCCTTGAATAAATATAACACATGTCCTGTTTGTTTAAGATTAAAAATAAATAATTTTTAGATAGTTTAGATATTTTATAAAAAAAACATTATTCTATGTTTGGTTACAATAATAAAAAAGTGATTATTAGTTAATATTTTTAAATTTTATGATATATTTCTTATTTTTTTATAAAAATAATTTATTAGTTATTTATTTTAAACTTTTATAATACCTTTGCGTAACACACATTTTTAAAACATTTTCTTTTACTTACTGTATTAAATTATTTTTAAAAGTTATTCAAAATAGTTTTTAAAAATAATTAAAAATAAAATTTTTTAAATTTTAATTATTTTTAAAAGTTTAAATAAATAAGAGTCATAAAATATAATTTAAAAAAAATAAATTCTTTTTTATAAAATGAACTGAAATAAACGGGGGCATAATTTATTATCAACTCTAACTTTTCCCCTCTTTTGTCAGTCAGTAGTTTCTGAACGTTGCCCATAATTGCACTTGGCCACTGTTACTTCACCAAAACCCTTTTTTGTCGTGAACCCAAAATCGCCTTCGGTTGTTTGAGAAGCACACCCCTTTCCACGACCAAATCTTTCAACTTTCCACAATCAAATCTTTTTTGGGACCCATCTTTCTTGTGTGGTTGTTTCATAATCACCCGAACAAGTTCACACAAGGGGGGAAAAAACCCAAAATTATCACCAATGTTCAATGTGTCATCAGTTACCTTGTTTTAGATTAGAAGAAATAAAAGAAAGAAATCATAATTATTTTGCTGCCCATCCAATAATTTAAAATGTAAGTGAACATGCTCTTCAAGTCCTTACAAGTGTGCTCTTGTTTAAGAGATCTTTAAGCTAATCTATATTGCCACATCAACCTCGCATAGTTACTGCCACCATCCAGGCATATTTAAGAAATTTGTTCACATCTTACCGAAACGACGCAGAAGTTGACTTCATACAGTGAAGAATCTTCGCATTATAAATTGAACCACAAGTTATCTTAAAGTTGCATCACGCACAAACTAAACAGCCCCATATATTCTTTCTCACCTTGGAGCATAATTATTAAGCACATGATGAGTCATCCTTCTCGGCAAGAGACGGAGCTGATGAACATAGAGACTGCTCATCACCATGAAGAAGATAAACTGAGAGTTCTCTATGAAGCATCGTACAAAGGGTGTGTTCCAACCTTGAATTCCCTGCTACAGGAAGATCCAGGAATGTTGCAGAAAATTAGCTCGCAGACTATCTTCATGGAAACTCCTTTGCACATATCAGCTTCCCACGGCCACCTTGAATTCATAAAAACCCTCCTTTCTCACAAACCAGCGCTAGCCCTCGAGCGGAACTCTTCAGGAGCCACGCCTCTCCATTTAGCTTCTGCAGAAGGCCACAACGACATTGTGAAGCAGTTGTTAAAAGCTTGTGAGAAAGCATGCTTGGTTTGTGATCAAGAAGGCAGATTTCCCTTGCACTATGCAGTTATAAGAGGGAGAAGAGACGTTGCGTTGAAGCTCCTCAAAGAAAAGCCAGAGTCTTTGAAAATCCTTGACAGGGGTAAAACTATTTTGCACTTGTGTGTGACGTACAACCAGTTGGACATCCTGAAAGATTTGGTGAAAGAAATTGGTGACACCCACACGCTCCTCAATGAGAGAGACTTGGATGGCAACAACATTCTCCATTTGGCTATCTTGTCGAAGCAAGTTGAGGTACTTAATTTTTACTTGCTTTTATTATTAGCTTGAGTTTGGTTCTCCTACCTCTGATAAGCATTAAAAAATAGTACTTTTTCATTGTTTTGTAGACTGTTAGGTACCTCCTTTCAATTCACAAAATAAAATCAGCGGCGCGGAACTTGAAGAATGACATCGGTCAGACTGCCCCAGACATTGTTGAGCGAATTCCCAAAGACTCCAAGAGCCTTGAGATACAGGTCATATTGATGAAGCATGGCATCGAATGTGAAGGAAGAGAAAGGAATGGTGTTGGTAGCGACGAAGACAAATGTGGGAAGATGTGGTTGTTGAATGTTTTCGAGAGTATAGACAAATGGCTCAAGTATAATGGTGATTGGCTAGAAGACATGAGGGGGAATCTAAGTCTCGTGGCTACTGTCATCTCCACCATAACCTTTCAAGCTGCACTGAACCCTCCAGGAAGCGTCATTCAACAAGATATAAGACCTAGCAATCCAGATCTTAACCTCAGTTCCAGTTCCAACACTGCTCTTGATGAAGGACCCCTTGGCTGCTTGCCGTACAAAGGTACTAGCGGGTCGATATGTCCCGGGAAAGCTATGAATGTTATCATCATCGAGCTAAGTTTGGCGACTTCATAATTTACAACACCATCTCTTTTGTGGCATCACTTTGCGTTGCTCTTTTGCTTGTTAGCGGAGTTCCTCTCAAACATAGATTTGTGATGTGGATGCTATCTATAGGCATGGGTGTAGCACTCACATGCTTACTAAATGCCTATTTTGTTGGCCTCAACCTTATCAACCCAAATAATCTGGATACTTTCAATGCGGTGCTTATAGCCACTTCGATTTTTAATGGATTGTATGCACTAGTTGGTATATATATCGCAGCGATATTTGTGAAATGGGTAGCGGGGAAATTGAAGGGGAAGAAAATTTGTTAGGACAAAGTATTAGAGAATAATTATTGTTATCTGATTAGTTAGTTTATCATTATTACTTCAACACTCGCTTGGCCTCTGCAACTACTTCGCACGTGTGCTTAAAGTCACACATCTTGTATAAATACAGTGTATTTAAAGTAATATCGTTCAGTTTCTATTTTCTTCTTTTTCTTATTTTCTCTTAAATCTTATCTAATGACCGTAATTGTAATAACCTTGACAAAATTATAAATAAATAAATATATAGGTTAACTTACTTAAAGTGTGTTTATATTAGTTCTTGAGACAAATATAACAAGTTAGAAACTTAGTCTAATGGCAGCTAAGCAAGTCTTAATGCATTAGGTCCCAAATTTAAATCTGGAAGAGGCCAAAAGAAGAGTAAATTTTTGTCTTTTTCTGACCATGCGAAATTACCAAATTGCCCTTAGTTCCATCAAATTTTTTTAAAACTCTTTCTTCCTTCTTTCTTAATGAATCTGGAGCAGAGAGAGATCTGGGAAGCACTGATATTTTGCTCTGCCTTTCAACCAAAGCTATCTTCTTCCTCGTCAACTGAAGCTAGCACCGTCGTTCGCGTGTGTCACCATTAACGCTGTGCTCGTTCGTTTGTCTCAGTTGAGATTTCTTTCACGAATTTATGCTGTTTGTCCACCTCTGTCACTGATTTTGGGAGGTTTGTTTTGTCGCACTTAGAACGTTGTTGTTGCAATCGAAGAGCTGAACCTTGCTGCTGCTATCGAAGGGCTTCCTCTTCATTTTTTCGTTTGTTGCTGGCGTTGGAGTCGTGCAGCAGACCTCCTCTCTTCTTCTTCCTTTCAGCTCGTTATACAAAGCTGTGACTCATCTTGCTTCCTTGTTCAGTCACGGTTGAGAGAGGTACAGATTATGGGATTTTGTTTCTGTTGCTACTGTCAAGTTTCTCAACTATGTTCTTACTTTGTTATGCTTCCTTCTGCTCGATTCTGATTTTTGCTCTATTTTCTCAAATTTCATTCACATGTTGCTAATGAATGGAAGAAATCAGCTTGCTGGAAATTGGTGGCTGCTGTTCTCTTCACTTTCTTTTGGATACTGCTTCGTTTTTCCTCTTGCTCAGCTGTGAATTTTATTTTTCTTCTCCCCTATGTCGTTGGCTCATCTGAGGTGAAGAGTCTTGATCTCTTCTCTCTTTCTTCTTGGTAAGTAACTCACCTGTGTGTGTGATAAGATAGTATAGAAATTGCTTTTCATCTCTTGATTTTCTGTTGCTGCCCATTACTAAATTAATAAAATATGTAGTAGTATTGAAGAATAATAGTGATACATATGGATCATAATTTTGGAGTTAAATTGATTTTGTTTGATTTGGTTAATGTTAAAGAATTTATTGAGGTGAAATTGGAAGAGACAAGCTTAGATATATTGTTGGTGCCTATGAGATGTCATTGAAGGGCTTGTATGAGGAAATAAAATTTAACTTCTAAATATTGATGGAAAATATTGGTTTAGGAATTTACCTGTAGATCTATAAAGGAATTTAAATTATGGGCTTGCACACAATTATTTGCATACTTGAAGCTTGTTTAATTTTTGGTAAATTGTTGAAGGTTTTAAATTGATGAGGTAGAAGTAATGCACCTAAGGTAAGTGGTGCAAAGATTGAGAGAAAACTTCTATTCCAAGAAAATAGAATGGTATGGCTAAAGTTTTATGGAGAAGGTTAGAGGAATGAACGATAATGCTTGAATTAACTTTAAATCACAAATTTGGTTTCGAATTTTAAGAGATAATGGTTGATATAGGAAAAGTAGAAGGAAGTCATTGTAAAGTAAAGACGAGTGTTAAATTTTATTTAATAATATCTTTATAAGATGTGCGAAAGATGAGGATCCTAACAGGAAGTGAAGAAAGAATATTGTGAGAATCTAGAACTTCAACAAGTAAGTAAATAGTATTCCTTATAATTATTTATTAAAAATCTTTTATTGAAATATTTTATTTTTATGAAATATGTTAGTTTTAGAAATTTTGAACCAACGATGAAGGATAGTTACATTATGATTTGTGCATTTTCTCAAGAAATATATTTCTAATATTAATGAAGGCACCTTTGTTTATTGAATTTCAAAATTCTTGGTTACATGATTATTGCAAGTTTGTACATTCGTTATGATGTATCGATTTGGCAAGTTTCATATATTTGAAGCAATTCATGCGAGTTTGACCTTGAAAATGAAAATTTAACTTCAAAAATAATTATTTCTCTCGCACGTTTGAAATAAAATTTCTAAGAGAACTCTATACATAACACTGCTACTAACGGCAATTCCGGTAGCCCGTAATGCGCTGTGGTTAAACACTAGCTAGTTTGTTTCGTGACCTTTGCTCTCACATTTGGTATTCATGGGCTTTGTACCCACATTTGATTCCATGGCCTGAGTCACGTTTGGTTACTTGCCCTCGTAGATTATGTGTCCACATTTGTTTCGTAGCTTTAGCTGCGTTTGGTTACTTGCCCTCATGGACTGGTGTGTCTGCGTTTGTTTTCATGACATAAGCCACGTTTGGTTATTTACTCTCGTGGACTATGTGTTCACGTTTGTAACTTGTTCCGTTGAGTTCTCAAAATTTTACATGTTGATTAAAGTGTTTTCCAAAATTTACTTGATTTTGACTAACAATTTTACCACTTTGAGGAACATGTGGCTAAATTATTTTCTTTAAGCATGATAACATAAATTATTTTCAATTTACTCTTATTTTACAATTATGGATATAACTTATAGGCTTATAATTTTTTGTGGAATCATTTTTAATTAGTTGACACCATTATTGGAGTTTATTGATTTAAATTCTAAGAATTTTACCATAGGAATGCTATTCACTGAAAAAATTATTTTGGCCTTAGATTTGTTAGCTTACGCTGATCCCACTATCAACCTCTAAAGGGCAACTAGCTACAGTGGGTAGACATTTTTTTGATTGGTATTGTTGCTTTTAATGTAAATATATAATCTGTCTTTTTGATTTGAAAGAAAGAGTAGATGCTCCTCACAGGTTGTTGATAAACCTTATTTTTGGTCTGTATATTGATTGCTAGTTGGAAGGAGCTACGCTCTTGATTTATACTGTTATCTGTAAAACTTTTGTTGTAGAATTTTCAGGAGATTCTAGTTACAGGGGAGGTTTTGCCGAAATTTCTACAAAAACGGCAACACTTTTTTATGATAATGAGTTTAAATGAGTTATTTTAATTATCATGTGATTTGATTAAATTTTGTTCTTTTCTTTTGTAAAATAGAATAAATGTTCATTTTGAGGCTTACGGGAATTTGTGAGTGATTCATACCCATACCGGTCACCCTCTATTCTTTGGGGCATGACAGTAATTTTTTTAAAATTAATTAATTTTTTCTTAATTAATATTTAATTCATTTATTATTATTTTATGATATATAGGGAGTAGTGGCCTAGTGAATCTATGTTAGTAGTTTCTTTGAAGGTCTATAGTTTGAATCCTACTGAGCAAAATGGTGGTTATATTTTGTTTTAAATTATGAAAAAAATTACCAAAATGTCCTTGTCTTTTATGTTATAACAGAAAAATTTTGGCTCTTTTTTGTAATTTTTCCAATTCTCCCTTTTGACCAGATTTTTTTTCCTTCTTCTCAATTATTCAATCACAGAGCAGTGACAGAGTGAAAGATCATTCGAAATTATAGCAGCCTTCCTCTCCTTCTTAGTCGCGTTCCCTTATTCCTCTCCGTCAGATTCTCTCTTAACCATCGGCCTCTCCTCTTCAGGCCATCACCTTCTTCTCCTCACTGCCGATAGTTCTTCCATCGTCCTTCCCCCCATCTTTGTCCGTCGTTTCTGTGGGGTTAGTTGGTTGGAACTCTTCCTTTTTAACTCTTCCTCCCTGAACCTTGCTATCGATGAGCTCCTCTTTTCGCCGCTGAGAGTTTGTTGTGATCCCGCCACTGCTTCTCTATCCCCTAGATGAGAATTGGGCTTTCTTTGAGATTGAATTTAATTTACTTTATTAAGGATTGGAACCCGAGATGCTGACTGATTCCAAAATTTATATTGGAGAATTTTTTTGGAAAGGGAATTGAAGAGGAAAAACTTCGAATATTAGTTTAAGGTTGACGCTTGCACACATACAAACACACAAACCGTTGGTCCACTACCAACAACAAGTATCACATTATCAACTTCCACCGAGACTGGACCGACTATGACAATGGGGATCGAACAGGCAACTTCCAACAGGACCAGACAAGACTAACGTCGATAGGGACTAGAGAGCTGATTTCCTCTGATACCAGACCGAACCAATGGCGACGGTGACTAGATTGAAGGCGATAATAATGGATGGTAGCCATCCGGTCCTCGCTCGGTGGAAGTTGGACTTTTGGTCCTTGTCATCGCCGTTGGTCAGGTTCGGTGAAAATTGGCCGTCTAGTCCTCATGGTCACTGTTGGTCCAGTCCTGATGGAAGTCGGATGTTCGGTCCTGATTGTCACTATAGGTCTGGTTCCAGTGGAAGTCGGCTATCTTGTCCCTGTCATTAGTGGTGGCTCTTTTCTGTCAACTTTGACAGTTCAATTCAATCACCGTTGGCAAGTTGATCAAGCCTTCGTGCATTTGGGTCAAATTACAAAAAAGCTTGAGTTAGGATTTGAAATAATAGGGGTGTAGCAAGGATTTTAAATTACAAAGAGATTAAGGGAGAACTTAGATTTGGATTTGGATCAAATCTAAATCCATACATTTTTAATTATCCAAATAATAGATTTGGCTTAAGTCCAAATCTAAATCCATGTGTATCAAAACATAGCATTATTTTATTGGAAGTGGATGACATATTGCGCATGCATGTGGAGACCAACGAGGAGAGAGGCCATGGAAATAAAAATTTCTATACAAATTACATCTTGATCGAACCAATATGGAGCCCATAAAAATGGAAATTGCTTATCATCATGAAGAGAAGATCAAAGTTCTTTATGAGGCATCATGTCAAGGGTGTGTTTCAATTTTGAACACACTGATATAGCAAGATCCACAGCACAGAATTAGGTCACAGACCATCTTTCACTAAAAGAAAAATGACTATTGTCACCGCCACCAAAAATATACTTTTGGGGGCAAAAGGTAGCCTTTTGGCAATAACTTT